TTGTCCTGAAGGGCCACTATGATTGGGAGCCTCTCTAGTGGCCCTTAGCACCTCGAGCTCGGCTGTCTACACTCGGAACTCTGCTTCTTTCTAGGCCAATATTGCCCTTAGGTGCTCCATTTCCTCAATTTCGGATGGGTCGTTCCCCACTCCCATCAGCAGCACACTTATGATATGGTCTTGTTCAAAAGGTCCAGTGGACTCCTTATCCGAGACTTGTTCGGGGAATTTGAAAAGGAAACACAACAGAGGTACAAGGGGATCCTTCTGCACCTTGGAGACACTACGCATGTTGTAGTGGATAATTCTTTCCTCTCCCCGCTTGCCTTCTTTGCAAGAGGCTTAGCAGGTGGGAGCTCAGACGAGAGGGATTAGACATCACCAAGACCCATGGCAATTTGGCCCCTTGGGGTTTCGTCATTTCCATCGAGCTTTTGGGTGGTTACTCGGATCTTGTTACACGACCAAATTTCGAGAAAATCCTCTCCTAGGTCGTGCGTGATCTCCTTCTAGATCGATTCCGGTCTCTGACCTTGCAGTGGTCGTGTACGACATTGATCTATTTGAATGGCGTCCCTTGCTTTGTCCAAGACGTATTGGGTAATAACCCCATGCGTATGCCTGAGAACAATCTTAAAATGTGCCTTATGAGCTAGTGTGAATTTTTGGACTCTGCCTTGGGACCACGAGCAAGGCTGGTAATCGACTTGCCTCAAATCCCATTCTACTACGGTGATCTGTGAAAGAACAGTACAAGATGATCTAGGTGGCTCATATTTACGAGAACTCCTAGCCACTGAGCGAGTTAGCTCCATAAGAACGTGTAACCGCGGGCATCTGGGCTGCATACGGCGATCTAGGCAAGTTAGCATCGTGAGGATTCCTAATCGCCAACCGATGGGTGTCGTGTGAGTTGGGTGAGTTAGCTCCATAAGAACGTTTAACCGCCAGCATCTGGGTTGCATACGGCGAACTAAGAAGGTTAGCATCATGAGGATTCCTAACTGCCAGCCGATAGGTGTCGCGTGAATTGGGTGAGTTATCTCCATAGGAACATCTAACCTCCGACATTTGGGCTGTATTGACAAGTGAGCGCGGAACTCATATGATCAAAGGCAAGAAACTGGAGCCCCGAGGATTCCTAACTTTCTGCATGTGAGCAGCATACAACGGTTTTGATGGATTAGCATCGCGAGGATTCCTCACAGCCAACCGGTGACCATTATTGGGGCCGGGCAAGTTAGCCTTTCGAAGATGCCTAACTGCCGGCATGTGAGCTACGTACGGAGGCCTGGATGGGTTACATCGTGAGGATTCCTAATTGCTAACTAGTAGCGTTATTGGGGTCGGGCAAGTTATCGTTGTGAAGATGCCTAACTATCGTCATGTGGGCAGCATATAGTGGCCTGGATGGATTAGCATCACGAGGATTCCTTATCGCCAACCGATAAGCATTATTAGGGTTGGGCATGTTAGTGTTGCGAAGATGCCTAACTTTCGGCATGTGAGCAGCATATGGCGGCCTGGATGGTTAGCATCGTGAGGATCCCTAACAGCCATCCGGTGAGCATCTCGAATAGCTGAGCACAGAACCCGTATGATTAAAGGCAAGAACCAGGAATCTGAAGGTGATGAAATGGAGGGATTAAAACTCGAGGATCCTGGCTTGAACCTTGCAGGAGCAGCATGGATATCTTTCTTACAGGCAAGGATGGTGGGCCTCATGGGACGTTGTGGTCGTGTTTGCCTTGAGATAACACGTGCCAAGGCACTGTTATTGATTTTCGCTCATCAACCCTTGCTGGGGTAAGTCAAGATTACCTTGAACGACCTACTACCTGGGACTAAGTCCACTTGAGCCTGGAATTTCTGCATTGTCCTAGCCTTTGAAGTTCATGGCTTGGACTCATTTCTTGCCATCGTTGTCTTCATAACACATGGCCTAGCAGTGGCTTCATTGAAATCAGATTGTCCCCTTGTTGGGGAGAAGTGTAGTGGGACCTCCATGGTTCCTACTTCGAAAGATGTCACTACCGCAACCATTTATACCTCTGACGACCTATGATTAACGCAGGGGTTTGCTCGTCAGGGTGAGTAAAGAAGGCAAGAGAGTAAATGTGGTAAAGATCATGACTCAAGACATATCCTAGAGAGAGATTCGACTTCCTAGACTCAACCAGAGATGAAAAGTGAATTGTTCCCTAGTAGAGTTGTCAGAGATTTGGATGCTCCGAAATGTGAATGCTTAAAATGAAATGTTTAAACAAACATTAGAATCCAAATAGAAAACCAGAGGACATCACATTCGAGGCCAAATTCACTCGTGCATTCTATATCAGAAACAAAAGCTTTATATTATACTAGGCACTAAACAATTCCAAAGGTTTAATCCTTTGTTACAATTTGCATCCGCTAAATAAAAGAAAATTAAGCCAAACACCTTAGATTCTAGTCTTGAAACCTATACATTCGTTTCTAAGGAAGAAAATATACAAACATATCAAAAGGGAAAAGATAACATAGAGGGCATATCGACCCAGATACTTGTGGACGTACGTGGGGATATTATCCTTCTGGTCTGGTCTTCCTAAGAGATCAGGTCTCAAGTAAATCGTATGAGACGATTATCTCTCTCCTCGTGTCCTGAATATCTCAACTCTCTCTTCCACTTTTAATTCTTACTGAGGTAAAAAACCCACAAGAACACTTATTTCTACTCAACTATGTCTATCAAAAATGTGTGCGGTTAGGTGCCTCGATCTTGCCTTCTAAATGTGGATGATCTGGTGGCATGCGTCTCGGGCTTCAACGAAGACTTGGGACCTTTTGAGATCGTTCCCTCGGGAACCTTGTTCGAGAACAAAGACAGGTATTACAAACCGATGAGAGAGGAATTTAAGGTGGGTTCGGGACTTACTCAGGCTGGCTCGCGTGGGCACTCTCTTAGATCACGAAGAATGCCCCCCAGTCGTAAAATTGGTTCGAAATCGCCTCCCTTGGCTTGTAGTCTCCTGCTTTCTGCAATCGCAAATATATGGCAAATGTTATAAGACAAGTGGATAAACAGACCTCACATTGCCTCTTTGGTGAACGTACACAAGCGTGCACATTCATAAGAAGAAGAGAAGAATAAGAGTAGGAAGATGGGGGAGAGAAGAATTTAACCAAGTGGGGAGATCAGCACAATGACTGAGCTGGTGGATAATTGGCCTGACGTAGTAGCAAAACGGGCTCGATAACTCAAATCAACTCAACAGAATTACTACCAGACGTCAATACCGATACTGACTAGCTAGACACGATGGTTAGTTTGTCGTAGCAATAAAGCGGGCACAGAAATTTTGGCACAACAACATTACGGTTAGACAACAGAACTATCATGAAAGGCTAATCTCGACCCCTCTTAATCAACGAAAGAATAACAGAAAGAATGGAAATCATAAAAAGAGAATAAGAAGTAAGAGAATAAGAAGAGAAGAGAAAGAAAGAGAAAAAGGAGAAGAATGTGAGAGAAGAGATAAGGAAGGAGAGAGGAGGGAGAAAAAAACAGTCGACTCTAGGCATCGCCGACTGTATTTAAGAAAAGAAGAGAGAGAAAGATACAGTCGGCGCTTGGCATCGCCGGCTGTGTTAGAAGAAGAAGAGAAAGAACGACACAATCGTCGCTTGGCATCGCCAGCTGTATTAGAAAGAGAAGAGAAAGAAAGACACAGTCGACGATAAGCATCACTGGCTGTGTTAGAAGAAGAAGAAAGAGAAGACGCAGTCGGTGCTAAGCATCACCGGCTGTGTTGGAAGAAGAAAAGAGAGAGGACACAGTCGACGTTGAGATTCATCGACTATGCTAGACAAAGAGGAGAGAGAAGACGTCAAGATCACTACTCATAGTTGTTTAAAGGTGAAACATATCCTTTTTAGTCATGATCATCTTATTCTCCCATCGAGTATTTGTTAGTATCCATCTAGTCATGCATGTGACTAACAACACACCCAACAACTGCTTATTCGTTTTTGGGCCTTTCCATTTGTCGAAGCGAGTAGGACATGGTGGTTTGGTAAGTAACGTCATAAAAGCTTTAAGATTACTCTATATCCCTATCCTACCTTAAGGTTCTTAATGGTACTCCCCACTTGGCTTTCAACCTCCACTATGTAGTCTTAAAATTTACTCAAGGTCTAACTTTTCGTCCTAAAAAGATACGAGTGGTTATCGATAAAGTAATGAAGTATCTCATGTGACCTATTGTTGTCACAATCATTCGTCCGCTTATATCATTATGAACTAATTCTAAAAGCTTATACCCCCATCGACCTTTTTTTATGTGATTTCTTACCCATTTTTCCCTTAGGCATGATTCACATTTATCTTTTAAGTCCCCATTCATTTTATCAAGTATTCCATTTTTCATCATAATTTGTAACCTTGTCGGACTCATGTGACCTGAACTTCGATGTCATAAGTATAAATCTTTGTAACTCTCACGCACATATAGCATTTCAAACTAATATTGCAGCCGTATACAAGCCGCACCCCCTAAATGATAGATGAACTAGGGTCAATTTTGTCTATTGGAAAAGTTCACAAGGAGATATTCGTCATCTCGAAAAAATAAGAAGTCCAAGAATTTTTTGCTCAACTGGAGCATCAAACTCTGAACTGAATCGACGCATGACCAGCCCAACTCAAGAAGACACAAGATGCAGAGAGAGCCATTAAGAAGCTGCCAAAACGCCAAAAAAAATTAAATAACAATAGGCAGGCTTACAGAGAGAAAGAGAGAAACCTAGAGATGGTTTAGAGAGAGAACCTAGATAGAGAAACCTGAAAAGGAGACGGCCTTTTTGTGGGTTGCAAAACAAACTCGCTCACATGATCTTCCGGGAGACTATGTACTGTACTCACCCACAGTTTTCTTCAATACCCACCCAATTCAGAAGCGGTGCAGAGAGTAGTTTGTTAAACTTAAAAGCAACACCTCTTTTTCATGCTCAAGAGACTTAAACATAAAAGAAACCTCATTAATGCCATCCCATTTACAGTGAAGCCCTAATCCCTATTTCATACACCAGTAAGATTCACCTAGAAACTCTAGTGATTAGGAGGTAACTAAGATTAGCATAAAAGTCTTGATTATTGTGCTCCTAGTTTTGAAGTGTTAACGACCCAAATCACCCCGCCTTGATACTAGAAGTACTCCTCCTGATTTTTGTCAATCTTACCCAACAAATCATCTGCAGAGAAGATAAATTTGCATCAAAATCAGAGCAGTTATGGTATAGGTAATAGAGCAAAAAAAACCCATGAAGGTTTAAAGGAACAAAAGCAAGAAACCCAAATAAGAAACTGGGAAATCAAGAACAACTTCATTAATAGATTCCATAAAACAAAAGGAATATATATCAAAGGAAATATTTCAAATATATATATATTTGGTTTTATATGTTATTTCATTAAGAAAAACAGAGCAAATTTGATCATCTAAACTCAAGGGAAAAAATAAAGAAACGAGGTGAGTCATCCGATTCTGAATTTAGGAACCCAGTTTATGGTTTTAAACAAGAATATGAAACCCCATCACATAAACCCTAAAACCACAAACTCTCCATCGAAGAACAAGATAGGACCATGATTGCACCCTAAAATACCCCTAAAACAGGGGAAAAACTAGAGAGAGAAAACGGAACTTGATATGAGCCTCAACGATTGCTTGACCTCTGGCCTACAATCCGGAGGGTCCTCGAAGAGAGAGAACGAGAGCTGCTTATGAACCACCCCAATATCAAAGAGAATAACACCAGAATCGGGGTCTGTAACCTTGATACCCTTAACAGGAAGCCACAGAAAGAGCTCTTCTTGAGAGAAACCTGCAACTCCAATAAGCTCGCCATAGCTGAGGTTCCCCCGAACTACTCGATCATAATAAACCATGCCGTCGAATTTGGCGTAACAGGGTTGATCAAGATGAACTTCGAGGCGGCCATCGTCTTCAAGAGAGTACGATTTCACGTCTTTGGGCAAAAGACCAGCAGGCAAACCCTTGCTCTGCAGCAATTCATGGACTGAATCTGCTTTGACAGGGTTTAGAAAGAGAAAGAAGAGCGAGAGTATAATCAAGAGAGAGAACGAGGATTTAGCCATGGGTGAGAGGAAGACGGGAGTGGGGTTTAGGTGGGAGGGAAGATTTAGAAATAGAGAGAGAGAGGAAGAGGGGTTAGGTTTAGAGAGAGAGAGAGAGAGAGGGAAAAGAGGAGGTTTTGTTTAGATGCATATCTTTTTCTGCATGCAGGAGAGAGAGGGGGTTGGTTTTTAATTTTGAGAAAGGAATCATGTCAGGTGTTTGGAAACTCAGTAGGCGGACGAAATTCCGACGAATAGAGAAGACGGCAGCGTGTTTCATATCTCATCGTTACATCCCCAAGTTAATTTTTTTTTTTTTTTTTTTTTTATTTAATGAAGTTCGGGAATAAAGGGTGGGGGCTAGGTTGGGCTTAAAAACATGAAGATTTAAATAAATAAATAAATAAAAATAAAATAAAAAGAGCAGGCCTGATCATGGCCGAATGAGCTGGCATCGGTCCCAGGCCAGGACGTCCAAGCCCTACTTTTTTTTTTTAGGGCTCCGCTTATTGGGCTGGCTTGGTCGCCCCTATTGCCAACCCTATGCTTGGATTTACAAACATAAGTTCTTCTTCTTTTTCTTTTATTAAAGTCCAAACTCGAAACGGTAAGTTTCGATGGATTCTTGGTTTTGTCTCTACGGCAAGCTTTTTATGCTTCTTCAAAAGCATAAAATTTATGTACTTATCCGACCGTCCATTTTGAATCGAGGGTTAAGATTACACCAATCATAATGTCACATCTTTATATTATTTTATTTTTAATTATTTTTTATATACTATTTTTATATCAAATTTTGGAGGTCCAATCTTCTATTAAACTCACACTAGCGCAAAATATAAAAAAAAAATATTTTCAATAAAATAAAATGACCAAAATACCTGTGAAAGTTTCAAAAGGTATTTTGGTCATTGTATTTTATCGAAAATTTATTTTTAATATATGTTATAGGTGCGCCTCAAGGAGAATATTGCACATACCAAATTTCATATTCATACAATTTGTATAAAAAAAACAAAAAGTAAAATACTTTGAGATGTCAGATCTAAGATCAACCGGTGAGTGACTCTCTTGAACAAAATTTGATGGTTGAATGGTAGGGAAAATATATATCTTTTATGCTGTAGGAGAAATATAAAAACGTTTCTCATGTCTCTATATCTCTCTATAACTTAAGTTTTGATGAACAATGGTTTTGTTCAAAAGAAAAGCTTTACGTAATTTTGATGGAATTATTTCTCTTCCTTTCAATATCTTCTGTTTTAATCTGCAAAGTTCAAAATAAAAGCTTAATTTAATGGAATTGTTATTTCTCTCTATCTCAATATCGTACTCTAAATAAGGTTTCTTCAATGAAATGCGAAGAGGAAGACTGCCCATTTTCACTTTCTTTCTTTAAATTCCAAACTGAAAAGTTTAATGCAATTTTTTTAGGGATTGTATACAATGAGACCATTTACCTTTGGTCACAATTATTTACGAACATACAATGTGAAATTTTATAGAATTTTATAGGTTGAATGTGTCACAAAGTTTGAGAAAAAAAAAATTTTAAGTTTGAATTTAATCAATAAAATGATTACAGCTATTAATATGACCACCTTGGATCTCTCTTCCAATTTTTTGTTTTTTTAAGGACAGTTATTTCTCTATACGGATCTATATCTTACTGCGTTTTCCATTTGTTCCATGATTTTCCCTCATTCAAGTTAAACGTTGTTCTTGTATAAGGTCATGCCCTCTCTCTCTTCGTTTTCACTTTATATTGGGCTTTATCTAGCATTTTAACTTTTTGATTTCTTGAAACGTCACTCATGTAAAACTTTTGAAAGCTTCTCTTTTCATTTGATCACTTTTTTCATTTCCACTCTCTTATGTAAACTCTGGTGGTTATTCTTTTATATCGGTGCTCGAAACAACGGATCGGGCCGACTAGTTGTTCGTGGCCAGATTTGATTAGTGGGTCCTGGTCTGATCCGATCTGATTAGTCTGACCAATTCCGACTAGATGGTCGATTAGTGCCCCGATTTTTTCTAAAAAAAAAAAATACAACTTTGGTAAAAATCCCAAAAATATACCAAAAAATTGTAAAAAATGTTTAAAATTTACATGTATTGTTTTTTTTATATTGGCACATAAAGAAAACAAAAAAAAAAAATATATTATAAGCATAACTGGGTTTCGGAGAAAATGATTAGGCACCTGAAGCAATACTTTTTCAGTGATCAATATATAATAAATATTTAATATGTAATCAATATACACTATATAAGATAAATTACATCAATAAAATAAAAATAAATACAATATATAATATAATATGGTAAAATAATATAACATATTATAATATTTCAACTCAAGACCATGTTTGTTTTTTTGGGTATTTTGGAATTCAATTAAAAATAAAGGGCAAATATAAAAATGTTCGTCTCATTATGACAATTTTGATAAATTTCCATCTCTCTCATATTTGTGTCTATGTGCCCCTCGGGGGGTTGGTGATGTAGGGTATAAGATTGAAGATCAAATCAGATGAACAATGATTAAATTTTTTATCCCCCCGAGTTGAGGGAATTACAGGCTTGGCACCCTCTCGCGCCGACCAACTATGGTGCGTCTGAGTCAACTCGCCCAAGGCGGCAAACCCTATAGTTAGCAAATAAAAAAATTATAATAATATATAAAGCTTTAAGTAAAGAAATAGAAGAATGGGGAAAAGAAAAAAAAGGAGAAATATATAAAAAATGTTAAAATGACAACTTTGTAGACTCTGCACTATGACAGTGCACCTATTAGTTGATTTTTAGAACAAATCGCTTATTAGTGCACCAATTGGCCGATTAGTGCCGATTAGTGCACTAAAAAAAATTCATGCATACATGACCATTAGAATCGGGCCAAAACGGGATCGGCCAGTGACTGATCCCAAGTTAGTCGGCTGATTTTTTAAAAATCGTGTATTTTTTTTTTTTTTTGGAACCTGTTCATGGGATAATATGAATGAAACCGAGACATCACATTATCGCTCCCCCACTCTGACACTCGAGCCTAGGATCTATTCCCTTTTCTAAAATTATACTAGTAGAATTTTTTAACAAGCTAAAACAGGGAGCTTGACCACTACTAAAGCACTAGCATTCATTAATGATATGGGTTTTCTTTTCCGTTCTAATCCTCAGTCCACTGGCGGGGGAAAGGGGGAGTTGTGAATCGTGTGGCAGATTGTTAAGGTGCACCATTGTTAGGGTACTCTGGACCTGCCAAAAACTGGAACTTGACAACGTTCAGCATTTGTTAGAGATACTAGGGTATCGGATCCTTCAATAGTTCCTTAGTGATGGATAGGGCTTCCACCGGGTCGGTTCGGGGCCTGGAAAAGCCCAAAAAACTATTTGGCCTGGCCAAAAATTTACAAGTGAGGAGGCCGGCAGGGCTCGAAATGATCTATTGGGCTGGGCCTCGGCCAGCCCAAATAGAAGCATTTTTTTTTTTTTTTGTTTAAATATCTCCCTTCAAAAAATTTTGAAAAATTTACGTACGGACCATATTAGGGGGGTCAAATACAAAATGGGATCACGTTTGTCTCAAATTACGGGTGGCACCCCCTTTCGTGGTGTTTTTTTTCCCAAGTTACCCCCTTGTTCGGTAATACAAACACTGGACAGGTGGGTTTTATATCGTGCAAAGAAAAACAGTTGTCTAGTGTTTGAAATACCGACATCTATGTGTTATCCCCAAAACTAGCAAGCCATCTCTCTCTCTCTCTCTCCTCCTCTCTCTCTCTCTCTCTCTCTCTCCAGATGACCAGTGGGGCAAACCATAGTTACCGCGAGCACCACCGCCAGATTTGGAATCTTGCTCCAGCTTTTCGAAGCATGGATCTCGCCCAGAACCCGTTCCCATCTTTTTGGGATCTCGCTCCAATTTTTAGGATTCTCGATCCTATTCACAACAGATCCCTCTACTTCAAGGATCTCGCTCCCATTCACAATGGAGATCGCTTCCTCTACTTCATGGATTTCGCTTTCATTTACAACGGAGCTCGCTTCCGCTAATTCACGAATCTCGACTCATTCACAATAGAGTTCGTTCCCTCTACTTAACAAATCTCGCTCCCCTTGTCTCACGGAACGCGTTCCGTAACATTTTAGATGTGGTTCCCGAACAAATTAGATCCCCGCTCTCAGAATTTTAAGATCACCATCCCGACATTCTTGAAACTAGATCCTAACAAGGCTGTGACCCCGATCCTATAATCTATGGAGCTCGCTCATGAGGAAAGTGGATCCAATCCCGAAAGTATAAGGTTCTCGATTTATGAAATCTGGGATTGCAACCCTTAGGAACTCAGATGTTCACTCCATGTCTATTTATTTATTCATTGTAGTCGGTGCTTTATACTCTGCAATGGGCATTTAATTGTGCCTATAGTAATTCAAAAAAAAAAAAGGCTTAATTTTGTATAGGGCGTGATTTCTATAAGGTTACAACCTTAAACAATCCAATTAAGGCGCACATCTAAATTTTATCATAATATGGAATTTTGTGTAATTTTTTTTTAACATTATCTAAAATTTAATTTCATTTTCAATTATAAATTTTAAACTCCAAAAATGGTTAAAATCGGGTAGATCTATAAACCTATAAAAATCTTGAGCATGGACAATCTAGATAATATGTTGCAAGACGCAAAATTCTTCGTACAATTGAGGGTGTTACTAGATTCATCAAATATTTTCCCAAAGATTAATAGTCCAACAATAGACTTTTCTATCAAAAAAATTTGTGGTAGATATGTTAGTGCTCTCACAAAAATTAGAGGTTTTCCTTGGAGATAAAAAGACTCAGAATAGAGAGTAAACAAGACAAAGCTAAGAAATACTCAGATATAGAGAGTGAAGAAGACAAGACTTAGAAAGACTAAGTGTCAGTTTATGTACCCAAAATTGCAATATTCTCATATGCCAAGAAAAAATGATTAAGATAGAATATAAGAACCGTTTGGAAGGATAACCTCATAAAGATTTATAGTTCAATAAAAAAGGGGTGAGGTTTGTATAAGGTGTCAACCTTATACTATTGACGTAAGGTGTGCCTCAAAACTATGGCCAAAATGTAGTTTCGGTGCCTCAAAACTATGGCCAAAATGTAGTTTCGGTGCCACAAAACCTTGTAATAATATGAAAATCTATTTTTGCCTTCAATTATGAAATTCAAAGTTCTAGAAATAGTGATGATCGAACAAATTTATAAACACTTAAAAATCTTGAAAATGGACGGTCTAGATAATGCGT